AGGCCTACCAAGTTATGTAGTAACACTGTCTAGTTGTAAAAGTCTCTCTCTCCAAATTTCAGAAATCTTAACCAAAATGCATACGTCATAAGATTACGTCACCTTTTCCTGGTAAGGCAAACTTTTCCGGCGTGCTTTTTTCATGGATAAAAACCAAGATACTAGAAATACTACATTTGATAAAAACCAGGGTTGCCATTTGGCCTTTTTGATGGCCAGATTCCTCAAATCGGAATCTGGCCGTATAAAAATTCATCTGGCAGTAACGTTTGAAAAGTCACGGCCAAACTATATTTGGCCGAATTTGGCTGGATTTTGTGAAAAGTTTACATTTTTTTCAATATACAGTAGGTCTAATATAACGTAGACTTGTTTTGGGTGTTGTTTTGTACAAAATCTTTGATTCTAATCGTGTACCTTCACTTACATTCAACGTTCGAAGTCGTACTAACTCCGGGTCGTACTCGCACTAAACACTTAATGTATGCCCCCCTTTGGCCGAGTTGACGTAAAAGAGTTTATTTAAAAGTTTAGTAGTTACATTTAATAATTTAAAATGATCGGATAAAATGTAGGCCCTATATTTTTATGAAGTTTATCCTCGTTTAAAACTTTATGAAGACAGTTTACTGTTTTTACCATAATGTTTTCTTTAATATTTGAACCAGTGGAGGTTTCTATCCCCTTGGTTGAGAATTGAATAAAATAAAATAAATTGTATGGCGCTTTATGTGAAGTGCCATCAATGCTCGATGTCGTCTTTCGGGTCCAATGGCACCTCCAATTTCAAGCAAGTGTTGCTGAAACTTCACCGAAGTTACTCTGGAGCTAATGTATATGAGAATCATGAAGAAGGTGGTTTTGATTGCGACACTGATTTATTGTTATGATACTGCAACAATAACATTCAGAGGCGAATTTATAAAGTTTTAGATAACAATTATTTATTAGTTTTCATAGGTTTGTCTTAACCAGTGGTGGCGCCAGGATTTTCCCGACGGGGTGGGGGAGGGTGTGGGGTCCGAGGTCCCCGACGGGGGGCTGATGCCCCCGCCGAGTAGGAAGATTTCCCCGACGAGAGCAAATTGGGCGTGGTAGAGCGACGCTTAAAATTTTGCAAAAGTAGTCCAGGGGGCAAAGCCCCGGAAATTTGGCCAATTTAGTGGTTTCAAAGGCTTATTTAATCAATTGTAGAGTCTAATAAACGTGCAAAATACACATAATTTTTTTTTCTCCTCCAGGCCGGATTGTGGTTTTCTCCCCGACCTGAGGGGGGGGGGGATCTCTCCCCCAACGGGGTGGAGCAACCCCTGGTCTTAGCGCCGGTGTGAGGTACCTTACTAATGCAACTTTCATTCTAATTAAAGAGACCCGCGAATTTGTCATTGAAGATTCCATAACAGGCCCTTATTATTGCTATAATTCGACTACAATGTACGTTATTTAATACATAAATCAAGTTTAGATCGATCTTAATAATGTGACTTTATATAGGTCAACATCTAGCAACTAATTACAGGAAATCTTTATATTATGATGTTGCTGGGCATTTAATCATGGTGATTAATTATTAAAAAAAACAAAAAAAAAAAAAACAAACAAACAAACAAACATTGAAAGATTAATATTGTTCTGGGTACCGTATATCATTTAATTTCTTCAATTTCAAGCAAATGACAGTTGATTTTCGTGTATCACAATGTTGTCTTCTAATCGGATTAAGATCTGACCGCATTTTGGCCGACATCGAAAAAAGGTTTGGCCAAGTTTGGCAGTGAAGCCTGTCTGGCAACACAGATGATAAAAAAAAAAAAACACAAACATCACTGCTTAGCACATCCACAACTGTTTCACTCGCCGCCTACTCCAGAACAATTTGTGAATGGCTGAAATAAGATGAGACGTCCAGTGGCGTATCTGAGGGGAGTCACCCTTCCCCTAAAAAAATCGTTTTCCCCCTTAAAAACTCGCCTGCCCAATCTTTCTCGAGCTTCGCGCTCGTAACCGAGGGCCCACACAACATTGGCGGCCTCGCACACATACCTCGTTGATACGCTACTGCAAACATTCTTGCACGTAATACTGAATGAAGGGTCTCATTAGGTATCATTAATCCCTATGCTATTTTTACGTTACTTTAAGTATTTTATTTCATTCAAAAATATTGTACATATTTCTTATTAATGCATTAATTACTTCACACTTCCCTATAAAAGACATGATACATCGTATACCATAGCACCCAAGAATGTTATATATAAGTAAATTGTGTTTGGATTTTGTCCTTTTTATACCTGGTCCTATAAACAAATTTTGTTAATAAAATATCTAATGGGATTCGAACGTGCGACCTCTCACTGTCAAGTGCAGCGTCATAACCATTAGACCATATGGTTGAACCATAGGGTTGAACAGATTCATATACCGTCATATACACATTACACACACACACACACACACACATATATATATATATATATACATACACATACATTATATATATTATATATATGTATTGATATATGTATATATGATAATATAGGACTTTCCTTATCAAACACTGTATATGTACCGGTACCTTTGATGATTTATTTTATATAAATAAATAAATATATATATATATATATACATATATATATATATAAATCATCAAAGAAAGGTAAATACAGTGATGACATATATATAATTTAGAGTGTTAACTGCTACTTTGATTTATATATATATATATATATATATATATATATATATATATATATTCAAATGAATAATAATTTTATGTCAAAAACGTCGTAAAATTAAACAAGATAGGCCTAATAAACTGAGGAATCATGTTATTAAATAATAATCGTAAAAAAACAATACATTGAAATATTGGATAAATAATCGATTAATCACTTTGACAAATTTAATTTTATTGTAAATTTTGTAGTAAATCTTTATTGCAAAGAAAACTTTAACCTAAGACCAGTTTATTGAATTCAATTTCATATAATACACTGAAATATTACAAGACCTAATTAATTTGATCACTTTGACCAAATTTTCATATAGTAAAGGAAACGTAAATCTAAAACTAATGTGTAAATAAGTTTCGTATTTAAAGCTGCTGGTAATGATAAGACAAATATATGCAGTCATCAAATCAACAATGTTTAAAATTTCAACTGGCCAGGACTGTGAAAGTAAAATGCTATCTTTGGAATTAGAATATGTTCAGCAGCGTAGCTAGGTGCGAAAGGTAGATTAATTATCTGGCATTTAATGTGAATGGGAATTCCCTAGAGTTCTCAGAAAATATATCGTAAGAAGTACTTCTTTTACCCACTACTCCTAAAGACCTAGTTTTAGTAAATAGGCCTACTAATGATAATCGGATTCATAACTATTTTAAGCGGGGCATAGTGGCAAAGACAAGCCAAACCAGTCACTCGTCGCAAATCGTGTTTTAGAGAAAATGGCCAAAACATGCTGGGATGTCAAATTTTTAAAAATCTATTTTATTGCACTAAACTAAACTTTATATATCTATACATCATTCTATGCTGTTATTTTCCCCATTTTCAATTTTTAAAACAACAATTTTTAAGGATTTTCTGCATGAGAAATGCCTGAAATCATAAACTTTGAAGGCTGATTTCTCATATATTGTTCTTTAAATAGCTGTGTGATTAAACTCTTGTAACTTTGTAAGGAAATGTCCGATTTAATTGATTTTTTTACCATTTTCTATTATTTTACTCTCTAACACTGTATTAATAACTCGGAATCGATTTTTGCGACGAGTGACTGGTTTGGCTTGTCTTTGCCACTATTCTGTCTTAGCAGCTGTACTAAACTGATCAAGAAAACTGACACATCAAATTGCAGTGACGGGTCAGGGAATTCGAAATAGACGGACCTAGGAGGGTGAAAACCACTTCAGCCCCACCATGGTTGGGGATGAGGTAACAAAATTTATTAATATAGCACCTCTAGATGGCCGAAATTGCATTCTCCGACCATAGGGTAAGGCTCAGACTTAAATTTTAGTATTTTCTTTTTTCCCATTCCTTTTATAATTTTGGAAAAAAATAAGGAAGGTGGGGGGGGGGGGGCAGCCGGCTAGGTCACCCTTGAATACAAAACTGATTCTGAAATCAAAACAGTTAAATAATTATTCCTCTATAACTTTAATATTATTGAGGGGCCCGCTGGTCGTTTTATTCTCCAAAAATATTAAGTTTGGAAATTATTATTTTTTAGTTCTATTTATGACTGGGCTCCTAATAGCCCTGGGCCCCAGTCCTTTGCACTGGCTGCACTGCTCGTAGCTACGCCATTGGATATGTTTGCTACAAATTCCATGCCGTAATACCAAAAATAGTATTTATCAGTCATCGAAAGAAGAATGAAAAATTAAATTGAAAGCAAATATAATACCAATGGTGTTTCATCAATCATTTAAACAACTTATGGTACTACTAAGTATCCAGAGGTGACGGAACTAGGGGGTGCTGTGTTATATGGAGTGTAATGTGTGACAAATGGTCTGCAGTTGGTTGTTACCATGCGCCAGCGATGGAGTCACAGTACACAAGATAAAACTATTATGTAGGCCTAATGCATGAATAAAGTTCGGGGTTTGTCGGGTAGTGAAATGATTATTGTACATTTTAAGTGCTCCCTAATTGCATAAGTATAAGCTAAATTACGGTGATTAATTTAATTAGCGAAGATTTGCAAGAGGGGATGCAAATGCTTTGTGAAAATTAGTACGCCGCGGTACTTTTTCACCAAGAAACACACGTCAAAAACTGGTTAGCTAACAATATGATAATGTTACATGAACACCTGGGAAGGAAGGTGCAATCACGTTCTGTTGCCTAGCAAACGTCTGTACTGTATGAAGGGGGGGGGGAGGCTACTGATGTACTGACGTGTAGGGGGATGATGAGGCATAATAATAAGCCGAGGCATAATAATAAGCCTAGGCCTAACTAGGCAGTGCAATTATATGTGATAGAAAGTATGCAAGCCTGCTAAAGACTGCACAGATTTCTTTTCTTTTTTTTTTGGTTAATAATAAAGATATACACAGGATAAACCAATAACTATAACTGTAAACTTTTATAGTGACATTTACCAATCATTAGGTGTGTTCTTATCATGTTGCCTACCCCTTTCTAAACTATCAAATTTAATTTAGACAAAACAATGCGACACACTTAAATATGGTCATAATGGCAGCGCATGATTATATGGGCCTATCATATATGAAGTACCCGTCAATCAAAAACGTATATACAACATGTTTTCAAATCTAATTATTTTTCTTGCCTCTTTTAAAAATGGGTTTACAAAACAATTGTGTAAGTATATGCATCACAAAACAAACAGTATAAATCACTACCGTATAGATAGCAATCTAGTATAACACTGCACGTATATTTACATTTGCCTACCATTCATATTCGTGGACCTATGTATTATAAACGAATGAATTATTAACATTTGTTCTAAAAAAATCATGTTAATCTAAACAATGTAACAGTCAATCATAAATGTAAGTATAGTACGCAATTCATTATCTACTGCTTTACCTCTTTTATCATCGATGCCTGTTGCCAATACGAATTTATAATTATTATTTTATCATAAAACAAACAGTAGTTATCAATCACTAGATAGGTATAGGATATAAAATTAAAGAAGCACTTAAAAATATAGCATACTATTCATTTTTCTAAAATAACTAAATTTCGATAATAATCTAATATTAAACTTCACGTTGATGCACATTAATGTGTCTCATAATACGTTAATCCAAGAAAATAAAATAAGGAATATATGATCTTCAATGACGAATATAGGCCTACTTAGGACTGTGCATGAATAAAAGTGAATTTGGTTGACTTTACGTAATGGTTAGAGTACAGAGGACACATTAATCACAAGCTCTCTTGGCTTATAAACAAAACGTCAGAAGAATATCCATGCATGTGTTTAAATTTATATTTTTCTAAATTAATATTCTTTAAATAAGTTACTCTAGAAATAATATGAAAATTGATATAGATTTATATTTGTATATTATGTGAAAACAGGATATTACCAGGGTACATTATTTATTTATTTATTTATTTATTCTTTCTTTATACTGAATATACAATTTCAATACATAGTACTGGTTTCCAAAGTGGTTCAGATCTTAACTACAAAATTTTAAAAGCAGATATATACATATGGTAACCAAAAAAGATGGATAACTTAACTACAAATTAAAATAGATTTAAAAGGAACATTGAAAGAAACTTAAGAAAAATAAAAAATTTAAATAATAAATATGGATATGCAAGGTAAAAGAAAATTTAGGTTAAATTAAGATGGTATTATTGAGGATTAGAAATAGAATGCTTAAATTTGAAAGTGTCATAGATTTAAAGTTGTTTTTAGTATGATTCCATAATTCAGTAGATATATAAAAATAATAAGTAATGCATAATACGTTAAACTATGCAATAAAATATTACTTCCTTTATCAAAAACAGTTTAGTTCTTTTTGTACTAATTTTTAAAATAAAAAAGTCTGTTTGTATGTATGTATATTCATGGTATGCCCTATTTACTAAAACACTCGGAACTATAGGATATAAACATTTTAAACAAACAATAACTTCATATAGGACCGATTTATGTGCATGTGAATTTGATCAATTTAGTTTATAGGAAACATCAATGCAGGTAGTAGCATCTAAATAGAAATTTTATAGTAACTAAAATGTGTTTATAGGTGTATTTTTCACATGAAAATGTATTGAAAACTGACTATGTGTGAAAACACCAAACAAAAATTTCAAGTTGTTGTCGGGTGAGACTCAAACCCACGATCTCCAGTTATTGTCCTCATCTATTTCATCACGATAATAAGAATTACCATAAAATGGATTTGTTATCGCCTGATTCAGCAGGCAATTAAAATAGTTTACTAAGAAACAATTACAATATCCATCATTTCTAAAATTGCTTTTGCATTAGAGATACAAATATTTGCATCATTACTTTTGAAAAGATCATGTGGTACTTTGAGTAATCGAGGGTATCGCGCTATAATTTGGTCCTTGCCATGGGCGCAAAGTTCATTCACGTGCTTACGTAGATCATTGGGACACCCTGGTAGATCTGATACAGTAATTGACAACGAGATAATATCATGCGTAAAGGAATTTTCTCCCGTATGTGATAGTATAGCAGCTTTCATCGATTTCTCCACGGCCTGTAGACATTTATAAGCTACCCATTCATAGCTTGGATATCCATTAATATCGTTATCTGCTGCATAAAGGTCCTCTCGTGCTTGTTTCTGCCATATTTTTGCTTTGTCCGGCGACGGAGAGGTATGTCCATTACTGGAACCATAAAATTCACGCGACTTTCTATCCCTATCGGCTCTTTGATCCCATTGTGTGTAGGATTCATGCCATCGTCCGGATTCCGTAAAATTATAATTCGCCCGTGTTGCTGCATTTGTCCGTTGCCTAGGAAGTCTATTTTCTAGACGATGTATCTCATTTCGCAGATGCATGAAACCTTCACTACAAAACTCCTCTCTACCTGGATTTTTATCTGGATGCCATTGCAAGTACATTCGCTTGACTGCTTTTTTCCTGTCGTATTCACCTAGTCTCCAAATCACTTCTAATTTGTCAGACACTATATTTTTGGTTTCCTCCAGATTTTCAGTGAGCAAAGGTGTGGATGCTCTTTGTCGATGCGTTGGAGCTGCACGTTCACTATCAGATCGAATCGACATGTTCACCATTGCCTGCAAAGCCATTTCTTCATGATGGTTTATGTCTGTTCTAGAATGACCAAGCACCCACTTGTAAAGATGTAATGCACTTACTTCTATGTTGGCATAACGTCCGATATCTATTTCATACATCATGCTGATTGTGTTCAATTCTGAATCTGTACGGATGATTTGTCGTAAAATCTTTGCATAGATGTACACTTCGTCCCCTGCTTTGCCGAGTTCATATACAACAATTTCTCCAGGTGTGAACTCATTAAATGGATCGTTATCAAGAGATTCAACTAAATCATCTGTTAATTCAGATCCCAAGTCTGGCGAAGACATGCATTCTGGTGTATGAGCGTCAGAGATATTACGGTAACTTAATAGTGTCTGTATTTCATTTAGGTCACAGAAAATCATCATCGCCAAGGTCATCACGTCACTAATAAGCTCTCCATTAAGTTCAGAGATAATGACTGCCAGCTCTAACATTAGAAGATTGTATTTCCCTGAATCTTGGTGTCTGATAAAAATTGTCTTATGTGCACGATCTGCATCTACAAGGAAACACTGTTTTTGGACTGTGCTCCCTTCTTTTATCACATTTGATTCCACAAGGCATGTCTTAAGCTCTTTTAGACACTGGATGGACAAATCTTTTGATAACGCTGGAACATTGGCACGAATATGTTCGGGAAGATTTATACCCTTCATATTTGCTTCGTGCTTCATAAGACGATGAAAACCATATTGAAATTTTTTAGATTGAATTTTACGTCTAATGATGTTTAATTGTTCGCAAAGTCCTTCCTTGGCATATCGACACATATTTTCCTCTGGTTTTGTACTCATGATCTCTTCGACTTTTTGGCTAAATGCACACGGTTGAAGATGTTTCGGCATTTTTTGAATATATTCAGTAGCATCTTTCTCCAATTCTACCTCTTTTTTAAGATCAATTAGAACATTCCTATCATTTTTCTCCTTCATTCGAACTTCAAACATTGGCTTATCATAGTAATTCAAGCTACTTGACGTGATGAGTTGGCAACTTCGATTTGGTAGGTACAAAATTGTAATATCTTTTAACCAATCTTTTATCAGGTATGACTTAAAGATTTTGCGAACAGCGAATTTGATCATAAGCTTCAAATTTGGATTTGTACCAAATGAATCGTGCCTAATGTCTTTGTGAATCATCGTCAGAAGTTGACAACACTGCCAGACGGAAGGTTTTTCCTGAGCACCAAGGCGACTGAAGAGCTCCATGTATTGGGCAAAGCATTCTGGTACCTGGTAGATATACGGCTTTAGAACAAGTCCTGCTTTTATTTTTTTCACTGTGAATTCACATTTTATCAAACATTCGTCCTCATCGACAAGCATAATAGACTTATCATTTATTTCTCTCACTATCTGTTCACTAAAAACAGGGTTTTCCAATTTTTTGCATAAAATCTCATAAATATCGTTCATTACACGATGCAACGTATCCTTACATTCAACAGACTTTGCTCTACTTACTGATCTCTTAGACTGGCTATATTCAGCCTTCAGATTAGTGCATAGATTTTTTATGTGTCTAAGAACAATATCAACAGATGGTGTTTTAGATGCATTCAATGTTGGTAAAATTTGACTGAATGCCAGTCGTTTTTTTGATGGGTAAAAGTAAGGAAAGGCATAATCTGGTAATATAGTTGCACTTGTCCAAACAAGATGCTCATTTATGCAAGTTAAAGCACCATTATATGCTATTCCTTGTCTACCCACTGAATGTTCTTTATACTGTTCATGTAGTGTTGCAAGATGTTTATTCACTGTGTGCGGTACTAAAAATTTGATGCAGCGAAGTTTTCTTAAGAAATCCGTATTACTTTTTAATTCTTCACTACGCGCAATATGGTCAATGACAGCTTTGGATTTTTCTTTCTGTTTCTTAATATCATACCAAAACATTTGTTCAATTTTCTGTGCAAATTCAAGAACTTTTTCTGGTGTAGGCTCTGTCACCAATCCCAATTCTTTCATAAAGTCATTCCAGTCACTGTCACAGAAAGGATTGGGTAAGAACTTTTCGGGTCCTAGCATAATTTTGAATAATTTGATGGACGCTTCAAAATATTCACAAATGCATTTGATTGACTGGCCTCTGTGAGATAAGAGAGGCGTTTCTTTCAGGCCCATGTAAGAGATCATTTTTGTCCTTTTCTTCTCTTCGTAATACGGCAGAAGAGTTCTTATTCGCCGTAAATGTTCAACTCTAGCATTATGACTGAATTTATCGAATGAGGGTAGAATAAACTGTTTGTAAACGTCCGCTTCGTTACATGTGGTCAATCCTAAATGTGTTTGCAGTTTTTTCAACAAAAGATCTTCTTTAATGAACTGAGCTTTTGAATTAGTTACCCATTGTTCTTTTTCAATTTCTGGAATACTAGAATGGAGAACAAAATATTTTTTGTTTTGATCCAAACTGATATGTTCTTCATAAATTGAAAGGTAGCAAGGCAACTTTTTTAAATTATCTATATGTTTGTTCAATGACGTGCCAATAACACGCTCAAAGAATAACAAGATGTTTTTCTTGTTTTCACTAGTCAAAACATCAAAGGCTTTATCATTGTCATTTAACAAAGCAACTATACTTGTCAGAATCCTTTCAGGAGAGCTGACAGTGGCAATGAACTGTGTAACAAACATGGTGGTATCGGATTCTGACCTATATGTGAAAAAATGCTTTGGCTTATGAAATATTGAATCATCTATTTCTGGTAGTTCCATCTTAGCGAATGCATCTCTAATGCCAATATCTGATATATTGCTATGAATCACTGAATCAGCTGAAGAAAATGGCATTAAATAGTGATTTATTTTTTGCTTTCCCGATTTTACCTTGACTGGAAACACAGCCCAGTTGCCCATTAGTGATTTGATACAAGAAAATGGATCATCACATTGAAGATCACTAAACTCGCGTTTCAAGAATTCCCAGAGATTTTTAATCCATGCTTTATTTGGTATGACATCACTGTCTGGGTCCCAAGGAACTTTTTGATCTGCATTGTACTTTGGCTGTAGATTATGTTCTAGTCTTTCAGCTAGGTCGCTAATCTTTAAGTGTTTAAAATGTAATGACTCCTCTGAGAAATGATGTAGCGTATTCTCATGCACAAACTCATTCCAGCATTCTGGTAATAATTCATGCTCTCCTGAAAGAAAGCATTTGTTATCTGTTTTATCAAATGTTCGTAAATATGAGTCTTGGGTGAGTAGTAGTGGCAAACCATCTAATGGAATTTCATTTTGTCGTAACTTCCCGTCATTGGCAATATATTCAAGTAGTACTAAGTAATTCAAATTAATTTTGAGACGCGACATTGTGATTTTGCATGGCAATGGACCAGGGATAAATTCATTTCTCATAAACTGAACAACGGCATCGGGTGAAACAAGTTCAATCTTGTGTAATTGACTTTTGATAACTTCATCTGGTTGTAAATCTTTCTTAGATGTTAATTGTGATCCTGTCGATGCTAAACCTTCATAAATATGATATGGCAAGTTTGTAATTCTGAAACCTATGTTTTGCAGAATAGGTTTTAAAAGCATCTTTTTTGTCTCTTTATGACGATCCCAGGATCCTAAATTTGCCAATTGTGAAGGTTTCTTTAAAATGGTATTCCTGGTATCAAAATAAGCCTTTTTCTCTGCAGGTCCTGTGGCTGAACACCATTCTAGCGTGTAATTAGTTTCCGTAGTTTCGTCCAATTCGCAAGCTATTATGTTATCTGTGCGTCGCACGACTGGGAACAGTGGCATCTGATTGCTACAAATATTCAAGAATACACATTTAGCTATTTCTTTCCAGTCGTTATGTACAGAGTGTATATTTGGAAAGTATCGCCAGTAGGAATTCATCTTGTTGTGCAGCGATTTGAAAGTACATAACTTTTGATACTTACTGTCATTGACTGATCTAAATTTTTTGTCCCTCAATTTTTCTAGTAGTCTTAGGTACGAATGAGAAATTACTTCGCCCATGATGAACAAATTCCAGTCGTTATTTTGAGAAGTATTAGACAGATTTCTCCTACTTGGATCAAGACTAAAATGTCCGTTCACACTTACAGGCAGCTTTGGTTCAATTGGAAGAGGCAGAAAACAATAGGCAAAGAATGATTTCCTTTTCTCTGAGCTATGTAGACGTGCTGCTACACCTCCACGTGGTAGAAGTTTGAGATTTCCTTCAGTGTATGATGATGAGATTTTTATAGGAATCTCCTGAGTTGATCCTATGCGTTGGTTCACTAACCAAATCTCAGTTTTATCTCGGCTATCGGAAATCTTCATCTCGTACGTAACCTCCTTCATTCTAATGTCTTCTAATCTCGCCTTATTTCCACATTCTTTTACATAGCTGTAGAACTCATGGCGTTTTTTATCATCTTCTTCTGATAGTTCTGCTTTTACAGAGTAATCAGTGCACATTTTATTATTTTCATCCATATGAGAAATAGTAATCTGTTTTAGATTATTCAAGTACAGCAGCATATCAAAGGCATCTAATTCGAAATATTGAAGTAAAGTTTGCAGTTTCTTTCCATCGAACAACTCTTCACTCATGATCGACTCACGATCTATTAAATTTGCATACGTGTTCATTTCAGTAGTGCGCAAAGGAAATCTAAACATTGTACATCCTGCGTTAGTGATAGATTCTAATCGGAAGCAAGAAAGGGCGTCTCGAAAAGCATTGTTAACCTGTGGACTAATGTTGTATTGAAAGCCAGGTGACTCTCTGGTTGCTTGGTCGATGAATGCACATCGAGGGTCAAAAATACACAAGGTATCATCATTAGATAAGAATGTTGGGCAGTCGGTTAAATGATACACAGAGTTAAACCCTATCCCATATTGACCTGTCTTATCTGGAGAAAACGATTTACTGCCAATTCCGAGGTCTTGGATTCCCTTCAGATCACTTTCAGTAAATGGTTTGTTATTAAAAACACATAATGCTGGTCCAAGTGTTTGTTTCCATGATTCACAAAATACTTTTTCATTCGGGTGTTGACGTGGGTCATATATAAAATTTATTTTGTCGGCACCGGCGTCATCTGAATTTTGCAACAGCTCTTTGAAAATGGTATCATCACAAGGGTAACCTTTTAAGATTTCTCTGATTCGACTAGTTAGTTTTTGGACTTGGCCAAACATTTTGCCATATTTTTCAGATGTATATATTTGCTTGTCAATTTCATCAAGAACCGTGGAATAAGTAAGAATATTTGAATTTTCATTCAACAGTTTCAATAAAGCTTTGCCTTTTTTAACATTTGAATTTGAGGTGATATCTTCTGCACATCGTTGTAAGTCATGTTTCGTCAATTTAAAACGTGTCTTTAATCCTAGCTGAAGTAGGATACTTTGATATTTAATACCAAATGGTAAAGCAGGAAAGATATCCAAGCATTCGCTAAACAAATGTAACAAAAGTTCATCTGACGGATCAAAACATTCTGATGCTCTTCTAAGGCTCCCATTACGTAAAGGAACAAATGGTTCTTTTTTAATTGTATCTATGATAATTTTCCTCTGAAATTCATCCCACCTATCCATTATCCACATAATTAATGAAGTTACATCTCCATCTTCATTCGATGAACATCAAACCATTTGGCACAGAACCTCTTCTCGCAGGCACATTTTAAGGCCCAATGTAGAAGCTAACATATTGGAATCTGTATCTGATATGTCAAGAAATATCTCTTCTGTTGGAAAGTCTGGAAGTTCTTCTTTATTCACTATTCTTATCTCTTTATCGTTGACGACTGCAGACTGAAAGACGCTGCAGTTAATGTAACCCTGGACATGAGTTGCTTCTTCAAAAACAGGAATTCTAAGTAACACATTTCGTTGCCTATCGTCTTTCAGGCTTCTAATATTTCCCAAGAATCTTCGAAATACTTGTACATCTTCTGCAAGAAGGTTCTTCACATCATTCTGAAGACTTTTGGCAGTACCAGCATCAGCAAAAATCCGCAAGATATCATTAGGTTCTAAACTGTGTAAGTAGGTCTTCCAAACGCCTTTTCGAAAAAATTTCACAAATTCTGCATTTTCAAGATTCACTGGAATCAAATGTAGAGAAGGCAGTATGCCCTCAACCAGCCTAGCCTCAACATTTGAATCTCGATGGCCATCGATAACTACAATATTAGAATTTCGGACAAGTTGAATTAATTTGACCTCAGTTTGGTCTTCACTAAATCTTGTCGGGATCAGGGTAATCCCTTCATATTTACTAATATCATTTTTGGAAACTTCTTGTAAGAAGCTCCAGAATTTCTTGAGCCAGCATCGTGGAGGGTGATCAGGCTGGCCTGGATACCACATAACCTCGGCTGATTTCGACCAATCGGATGGTAATGCATCTCTGATTAAAGTTGCAATCATGTTTGGTTTCAACTGTTGAACTTGATTAATTCCTGTTAAAATGAAATCATCATATCATTATCATATCAATATAAAACAATGTATTGGGTTTATAAAAATATGTTTACATCGAACTGCAATGTAAGAAAAAATATGGAATGTGTGTATGTACCTATTAGGTCTATAATAATGCAAGTTCAAAGGGCACAGGCCAATTGAGCCATTATTTCAAGATGTAAACAGGTTCTTTTGAGCATTTGGCATACAAGCCGCTAACAAAAGACGTGTTCGATTGCAGATAAGAAAACTTATAATATTGTATTAATGGCTATATTTGGTTGCATTATACTTATTCCTTTGAAAATGTATAGAGATTTCTGAAAACAATAAGTGCTGATATATAATGAGGTTTTGCCTGGCAAAAACTGTATGTTCACACAAATATCTGTTAAACATCACTATTTTTTTCTACAGTTTTTTTTCTTCAAGAGGCATGATTAATTATGTAAGATTGAGAAATATGTAGGAATAAACTAAATTGTAAAAATCACCTGTCATTTGGCTTCCACGAATAATCTTATCCTTTAGTGATTTCTCAATATTTTCATCAAGGAATCTGCTGCGAAGGCCTGGTAATAAGTCCATTGAGCACTCATGTAGTACAGAGAAATAAACCACTTCGTCGTCTGTGAGATTTTTAGACGCAAATCTACAAAACGAACTATCTGCAAGTGGAAGCAGTTCAAAACCATGAAGGTCATCATAATCATCGTCAGCTAGTAAATATGTCAGTAAACAGATCTTCTCTCTGCGTGCTAGGCTACATAACGAAACATTCCGTAGGGTATCCCGAACGCGACTAGGTGTGACACTGTTAATTTTGTGCTTACTGTGCAACAAAACAGCATTCATGACGTGTGGATAGTCTCTTGTGGACACAATCGGTACATTGTTTTCTAGAAGAAATCTCACAATAAGCTGTTGAGTTCCCATTGGAATGTCCTCAAAATGGTCAAATATTGCCTCATCTATATTTATCCACTTACCACCTCCAATTACACTAAAGAACACATCTTTTTCAAGTAGTATATTGAAAAAATTAGGACACATTAACTCCTTCCAGGGGAATCCCACTTTGTTCACATCAGGCCATGTCTTGTAGATGCAATCAACAGAAACCTCTCCTGTACTGTATTGTTCTATTGCATGAAGTATAAGTTGAGTGTACGCTTTTGGAAAAAGTTGCTGAAGGAGCAAAGTGTTCCATTTTGACATTTTGTCATTACGATCTTTAACTGGCCACTTGATTGTGCGTCGATCATCACTAATACCAAAATCGGCGTTTACATGTACAGGTAACCCGCTATAATTTTCAGACGGTGGAAGCGGGAGAAAGCAACAAGTTCTACCTTCAAGCGGTGATTTCGCACTAAACGCCCGCATAGCAACACCTACCAATGGCAATCGATCAAGTTTTTTTGCCAGTGTAAGTAATTTGGATGGATTGTGTGATCCCTCCAAATAAATGCTAATTAGCCACTTGTGTTCCTCTGGTTTTAAACGATTTTCAACAATTTCAATATGCATTGGAAATATTGTCGAAAATGATGCGTAATAATTACTGTGTAGCAGTTTACTACTCTTAATTGCTGTTACTATGTCTTTTCTTGATTTCTGGACTATGTCTTTAGTTCTGCCAGAAATGTTAGCAGAAAATAAAGGCACTTCTGTTTCAGTAAGCTTTTTTCCCACCGTTATACTGTTTATAGTTTTTAAGAACAATAGGAGTATTTTCGCATCATCGACAAATAATTTGAAGAGCCTTTTCACGTCATCTCCATTTACCACATTATCTGACACAAGTGATGGTTTTCTTCGGAGTGGGAACCGAAACATTGCTCCCGTAAAAGAAAGCCCTTCAATCAGGCCTGGTTGATCTCTAAATAAGTTCCTGTATGGTTGAAATTGGTCAGAGAATTTAGGATCCTTAAAAATACTTGCCCTTTTGTGTATGTCTAGTTGGCGCCCTCGACGGGCTTTCCCCTTGTAAGTAAACAATGTCTCGGTAGGATCCATTAATGCAAGGTAATTTCCGCTCACAATGCTAGGCACATCTAAAATGAATATAAAAAAACCGTGATAATATATTTTTTAAACGTATTGCCTAATTCCTGAGGGAAATTCTTAAGACGCTGTTACAATCAGTCTAGTTGCTATAATGCGCAATTCTAAAACTGGGTTGCATGTTTTTATTATTACATGAGGTAAAATTACCCAACTATTCATTTATGCAGCCTCACCCTTTCTCAGTGAGAAAAATGTTAATCAATCCACCATGCTGTATGTATTTAGCAATATTGTGTAAGTTGTTGACTGTTACCTAGTCCAACAGGTTATATATTCTGATTTTATCGCTGTTTCCGAAGTGTACAATTTTGCTGCAGAAGAATGTTCCTATTTTTATCGGCTGTTTTAATATAAATGCGCAAGTGTTTTATTCTGATTCTGCTGTTTATGAAAATTGTAATTTTTTTTATATCCTTTTTTCTATTTCAAAATTTGTATATAATATTTACCTCCCTCTTTTTTTCTCTATTTCATCTGTTTATATTTTTTTTATTAATCTGTTAATTTGTCCTTTTAAATGATTGTCTTTTTTGTAATTATCCTTTAAAAATCCCAAGCAATTCTGTTTTTACTGTGATTTGTGGGTGTTTTTGAAATAAGTAAATAAATAAATAAATTTGTTTGTCTAAGCAAGATTGAGCAAAAACAATCAAGAAACTCAAGAGGTCAAAGGACAAAGTAATTTATTATATTGTGGGGTAAAAAAGTCAAGGTCACTGAGGCTTACCTGTCACATGATAAACGGACACAAATCCCATCCCAAAGCGACCCACTTTCGTTGGATCGTCCTTCTTCTCAGATCTTGATAAATTCTGTATGCTTGTCCAATCCTTATCCATAAAGGTTGCATCATTGAATGAACACAAAGCTGGTCCTTGGTATGGTGACAAATCACCAATCCCTTTACCGCAATATAGGTTCTCTGTACCGTGCTGTCGGCCATCGTACAAAAACCTTACAGTGGTGGCGCCAGCATCATCTGCATTCTGTGTTAACTCCTGTTAGAAATTACATATTACTATTTATTGTTATTTCAGACACTCAACGCAGCCAATGGTCGTTTGCTGACGCAATACTATGTAAATCACAACGCCACGGGGCGTGAGCAAAGGGTTCGCATTGTCAAACACTCACATGGAGTGGAGTTGGATACATCGGCTGGCAGTCTGACGTGGAGAATACTCATTAAGAATAAAATTTATTATATAAGCCAAAATAGTCAAAACGTAGGCTCCTACTCCTAGCAGGAATGTGTAGGAGTACACTACTTGACAGCATACTTTCTTGTAACTGCACAAGTAACCTTGTTGACTTTTTGGTTATTTTTCTGGACAGGTCTTACCTATAGCATGGCATGACATTTCGTAATCTATACTTTTCATTTTTATCTTTAGTTTTAAACGCATCCTATCATTCTGCCACCGGATTTGCTCTTAAAATGTCGATTGCCAGACAATACAGAATGATATGTCTATTCGCCCTTCTACTTATCCCCTAAGTGACAGTGGACACAAAAAAGAGCACATTTTTTATTTTAAGAAGTAGTGATGTATAAACCATGAATAATAAAACACATAAAATAGGATTTAAAGTTAGTAGGTTTTACTGCTCTCTGGTTTGATAATGATGGTAGATGATAATTATGATAATGTATGATGATGATGATGATGAGCCATAATTGTAGAAATTTGATTTTTTTTATGGCTATGTAAGCACAGTAAGTTACCTTTAGTAATTGACCCTCTGTGTAATTTCGAAGAATTTGTTTCACATATTCTACCAAAGGCGGCTCCCTTTGTCCGAAACAGTAATCAGCTGATAAAGTAAATAATGATAATTTATTATGGAATCAATAAAATAGTGAATAAATTGATTATATATATTAAGCTGTATAATCTAGACAGAGATTTACATTTGTTTTAATAAGGCTACTAGTCATTGGTTGATT